CATTGCATACATATACTTCGTAGACATCCTTAATCTCTAATAACTCCATTCTGCTGTCTGTTGTTGGTGTTTCATTGTCTGAATATGGCACTTAACACATGCTGTGTGGTATCGGGGCATTTTAACGAGTACGAGTACAGAAGCTCAGTATCGGGCCCGATACCAGTATCGGTATCGGTGCATCCCTATAAAAAAGTCAATTGTCTTTTATTAGCAGTTTTCTTTGCATCCTTTTCGCCGATTTTTTCGAAAATTTACGATTGCAGTAACTGCTTTTCTTTTTCACTGCCAAAGGCTTTTTGTTGTCAGAGTTTTTATGTCATTTATTTGTGTCAGTTTGGTGTGCTGTTGCAACATTAAACTATTAGTTAGGCCAGCCTCCTCCTCGGTCATATATTCCACCATACTTTTGGCACAAATCTAATGCATATGAAGTTCATTATTCATTTTTAGTTCGTTGTTTCTATCACAAACTAGCGATATGCGCATACAATACTCGGCAGTGAATGGTTGTTTGAGTGAGTGTTATATAGTGAATGTGTGATTAGTTACAGCTGTGTGCAATCAGTGCTGTGTGCAATCAGTGCAATGGATGATGGGATATGTATGTATGTCATTCCGGGATGACATGCAACAGTTTGTGTAGTGCGAGAGTCAATGTAATGGAAGGGTGACCTCTGGTGGTGATTGAACGGAAGTCCATGGACAGGATTCGTGACATAAATACTGTTTTGTCAAATGTCGTACTGATGACAACTAGTAAGGTCAAGGGTTAGTCATAAAGAGTTAGTTCACCCCAAAAATGAATGATTTGACATTATTTGCTCACCTTCTTGTTGTTCAAATCTGATGTTTTTTTTTTCTTATGTGGAATACAAAATATATTACTACTGCTCTTGTTGCTCAAAGATCTTGTAATGTGAAAGAATAAAACTACAGATTTTAGTGGCTCAAATTCCCCATCTATATAAATAAATAAAGAATTCTTCATAGCCGAGATTATGAAATATTTCAAGAACTGTTAGTCGCTTCCCATTGCTTGTCCCACATATAAATAGTTAAACATCTTTCAGCTCAAGTGGACACGCATTCCCTGTAATAGATAAAAAGCCATTATATTTCACTTTCAGTTAAACTCATATTGTAAAACGCTTTGCATTACCCTTAAATGCTGTGATACATTTTTAAAGAAGTACTTAATTTAAAACTGTCAGACTCAAGCCATTCTGAACGCTTGCCTCGGGTGGGTCAATGAATTTCTCAGTGCAATGCTTATTATTAATGTGGACTCCATAGCAAATGCACGCTAAAAATCTCTCTCTTGCTCACGATTAGACATTTAGAGTGGCTAAACATTCTGCAATTTTTTATTTTTATTTCTCACTTTCCAGTATTGTCACGCACTTAATACTTTCACAAATGGTGAAAAAAGGAAGGTGACCTGATAGCCACAACCCCAGATGAATAAAAACATAAAATATGGGCTATGGCTATTGTATTTGAAACAAACTGCCACCCAAGCTTTTATAAATCACTGCTATTTTTCAACCGATTCTGGGATCAATGTATAAAGACGGGGTCATCTTCATTTGGCGAGCCATGCAGGAGTACGTGGTCGTCAAAACGTTCCTCATTATGAGGCTGTACAGGTGATAAATATCACACAATTAACCTTAAATTTGTGCTCTACTTTTGTGTATTGACAGCGATTTGGAACGGGAGCTCGCTGGGAAAAATTGCATCCATGGAAACAGGCCTTAAGTGGCACTTAAAAAGCGCTGAATTATGGTCTCGTAATGAGGCTGCATCTGTTCAACTTTTAAAAAAATGATGTCATACTGGTGAAATGGCATTGTGGTTTTATGGAGGGTTTTGTTGAGTGTAAATGCATGTTCATTGGGAAGGCGAGCTATATTGTGTGATATTAAGATTATCAAAGTTTAAATGTGTGTTTGTGTCTTCTCAGAGTTGGTGCGTAGCTGCAAGGAGCGGAGGTGTCAGTTTGACTGTGTGATCATGAGAAACGGGACGTCCTGTTTCTGCGGGGAAGGTTTCGAACTGGACGAGGATGGGAGACGGTGTCGAGGTGAGGGTCATTACCATTTGAACTCTGTTTGAAGAATTTGACTCTTTAGAAATGTCACTGAATGGAACTGTAGCACTTTTTAAACAGTTTTTACTTACTACAGGTAATTAAGCAAAAAAAAAAAAAAAGTCCAAATAAATGCTTTCCAGAATAAAAACTTCCTATGTGATCCGACTAGAAAAAGCAAATATTGGCATAAGATCATATCCTCATACCCAGTGCCTGATGAAAAATCATTTTAGCTAATCAAAAGAGCTTTTCTTAACCAGTTTGAGCTATGCTAAGCTAGCAGGCTAAGCGGTTAGCTACCTGAAAATGGTTTTTTTTTTCAGATTACATTTAGATTACAAAAAAAATATATACATTGAAAGATGTAATTAACATATTTATATGATTAAGAAAATGTTTTAAATTTATTTTCTATTATTCCTAATCAGACACTGAGTACCCATAAAAATTAGTCTATTAATTCTAATTAGTTTGAGCTATGCTAAGCTAGTAGGCTACAGTAAAGTTGTTAGCTACCTAAAAATGTTTAAATATGACCATAATTTGAAAGATAGTAAATGATAGTATTTTTTATTTTTTTTTAATTAGGAAAATTTTGTAATCAGGGGCAAGTTCAAGCACAAACTGGTGTGCACCGTTTTGCTACGGTTTCCGGTTTGAACGACATGTTTCCTGGAAACGGTGTGCAACGGGGTTTGAGA